CCTACTCCACTGCTGGTGGGAGTGTAGACTGGGGAAACCACTGTGGAAGTCAATTTGGAGATTCCTCACAAAACTAGGATTGGAAGTCCCATTTAACCCAGCTATTCCCGTTCTGGGTATTTTCCCAAATAATTAAAGACATCATACCACAGCGATATATGTGCACCCATGTTTATAGCAGCACAGTGTTATAGCTAAATCTTGGAAACAACCCAGATGCCCATCCACTGAGGAATGTATTGAAAAGTTGTGGTATTTCTATACAATGGAGTATTACTCAGCTATTAAAAAAGATAAACGTGAGGCTTTTGTAGGTAAATGGATGCAACTAGAGACCATACTCATAAGTGAAATAAATCGGACCCACATGTGTAAACATCATATTGTCTCCATGGTGTAGGAACCTGAAACACTAGGTAAAACTCAAAACATACAGTAGATGACAGGAAAGGGAAAGAAACTGCTCAAAAGAAGGAACAACTGGGATGAGTGAAAGAAGAAAAAAGAAAGAAGGAAGGCAAAACATAAATATATATATGAATAGCTGTGATGACTGTATTGCTGTTGTCTGATGGTGTATTGAAATGAACAGTTAATGCTCACAATTTTTTATGTTCTGATCGATTTTGCATGCTTGTGTCTGGTGTTCTGAGCAACTGATTTGAAGGTAACAGTATGCACTAGAATTACAATGGTGAACTCCTACCATCTTGTCTAGTGAAACTCCGTATTATCTCTAAGGTTTTATTGAAGAATTATTTTCTTATTCTCTTTAATGGTTTGAGCAATCTTTCATTCTTACATCTGATAATCTGAGCAATGTAGTTGAGGATAGTGATATGCATTTTAACAACCGCTGTTGATTTGTATTAATTTGTCTTGAGACCCTGTATCACTTTGAATGTTTTTGCTTTGATTTCTTTATGTTCGTGATACTGGTATGCTGCTACTGTTCTATTTTTTTGTTTGTTTGTTTGTTTGTTTCTCATGTACTATTCTCTTTAAAATAAAATTTTAAAAAAGAAACCAAAAATAAATAAATAAAAGCACATTAAAGGCACCAGGGGAGGGATATGGTCACTTATTTTCTAAGGTGTTCAAATATTTTGAGAAAAGAACCTCTGAGATAATCTAGTCCAGTGGTTGTCAGGCGTAGCAGCCCCAATATTCCCTTGCTATTCAAGATATTTTGTGATACAACCTTTACCACCCTGAGGTGAACTTCAAAGTCAATATAACCTACTTATACTTTTAATTTCAAGAATAGCAATGTGATATACACTTGTCCCTCAGTATCCATGAGGGATTTGTTCAACTGTCCCCACACCCTCAAGGCTGCCAAAATCTGCAAGTGTTCAAGTCCCTTAAATGAAATGGTACAGTGTTTGCATAGAACCTTATTGCATCTTGTATGCTCTAAATCATCCATAGATTACTCAACCTGATACACTTTAAGTAATTGTTATACTGTGCTGTTTAGGGACTTATGAGAAGACAAACGTAAGTGCTCAGTATGGACACAAGTTTTTTTCTGATTATTTTCCACCCAAGGCTAGTTGACTCTGTGCATGTGGTACCCACAGATATGGAGAACCAAGTATACTAACTACACTATAAAGGAAAAATTAAAAGAAAGTATGTATAATAAGACAATATATATATATATTTCAATATACAAATACCTAGACAAGATTATACTAAAACATATAATAGGACATGAAATGTTCCCACGTATCCGCAGAATCACTGCTGAAAGCAATCAACACAAATATAGACTCATATAGGTAGACTGTGTTGGCAACCTAAATACCCACGAACAGCACTGCTGATAGTGACATGCTTTTCAAGAATTACAAATAACTCAAAGTTCTGAATAAAATAAAATACCATCTTCCCCCGATTTATACAGTTGTTGCAATCCTGGAAATTCAATATATATGTTAATATTATAAAAACATTTTGTGTTTATTTGTGAAACAGTTAGGGCCAGCTAATGATGCCAGCTTTTTCCACTCACATTTATATTGTATAGACCATCTGAAGTTTCGCAGGTACAGATACATACTTCCCATTCCCCTTTTATATTTATCCAAAACATGAAATACACAAGGACTTTTTGTGAGTTAGGCTTGCATCCTTTAAAACTAATGATATTCAGAGTTTGAGCCTTTGAGGCTATGTCTAAAATCTACTGCCCAAGAATGGCCAGAGATTTCTAGAATGTATTCTCAAAAGTGACACAAATGCCTTTTGAATTATTGGGTACATGACTCTTCTTTAGTATCACTGTGGCATAAGAACAAGTAATCATTTTTAAAAAACACATTTTCTGTGATCCGTTGGTGATTTTTCCCTAGCCTGGCCCCAGCCTCAGCAGTAGAAAATGAACTGAGCTGGAGGAAAAGGACTAAGAGGGCCAGGCCAAAGGGAGAAAAGGGGGGTTAGGTTGCTAGGTTACCACTTGAGCCAATCCAAGTGGTCCCAGAGGGGTACCAGATACAGGACAGGTCCCTCTCTGGCCTACCAAGTTGAGGGACCTCTCAAAGGAAGGGTGTCAAAAGGTGGGGGAGGGGTTCCAATCACTTACACTAGGCACAAGTAAAGAAATGAGGCAGAAGCACAAAGAAACAGACAGCCCTGTATTTCTAAAACCATTCAAGTCTCTTTCATTAATTGGCTTCCCCTCAAAAGAAAGATTTCTTTATTAAGAAATACCAGAGAGTGAAAAACCCCCAACATATACACATTTGTAGGCTCACACAAAAGTGCAGAGATTTACATATTAAACTGTATTTAAGTTAGAAAATAGATTTAAAAACAAAATATTTTTTTCCCCAACAAGGTAAACAGATTTGGTCAATAGGAAAAGGGGCCTTAAGGATAAAGGCAGGATGGTCAGGACAGGAAGAATGGAATTTAGCTGCTACAGAATTCGAACCCACCTCTAACCCAACCCCACTCCTGGGGAAAAGTGCAAAGCGGGAGACAGTGCTCTCAGTTGGGGCCAGCAGGTCTCCAGAGCCAAAAGGACATAAATTCCACTTACCCTCAGGGGTTTTGGGTCACTGCCAGCCTTCCTGGCCTGGGGAAGTGGGGTACATAGGAAACATGAGGAATGGGGAGGGAAGGGAGAGCTGGAGAGAGCTATGGTAAAGATCAAAAAACATAAGACCCTTTTCTCTAGGGAAAGATCAATCATTAAATCTCTCCTCTGATGAGAGCTCAGACTAGGGACAGACTTGGCTGGTCCAGGCTATGAATGGGATAAATGTTCAGGCCAAGGTTTTAAATACAGGTTTATAAAGGAAAAGAAACAGGGCAGGGAGTATGAGAAAGTAGAAACTAAAAAAAAATCATTTTATACTAGAGATAAGAGATTTACATTCTGACCCCTCACATCAAAAAGTGAAAGTTTCTCTGACTGACTTAAGGGTCAGCAGGAGAATGGCTGTGGCAAGTTGAGGGAGGAGAGTTCTACTCTCGGCCAAGAAAGGAGATGTGATAAGACTGAATGGACTGAATACTGGTTAGAAAGGGGTTCATCTGAATGACAGGTTGCCTGTAAAAACCTAATAACTTCTAAACTCTCCAGGATTGACCTTATTTTGAACTAACTAAAATTTAACTATAAGAATCAAAGTGAGAGAACTAGAAAATGAATGGGAAAGTAGAAGCAGATACGAGAGGAATCTGTGTCAATCTCTCTCCCAATCCCCTGCCCCTTGCTAAACTCAAATTTTGTGACAAGGAAGAAGTCATACAGGAAAATCTGGGAGCAGCCAAATTTCACCAACTCTAATTAACTAGGAACAGTGAGATAGGAATTGGTAAGGAGTCTTGATTATAGATTATTTGGAAAGAAATACATACCATAACTTATAAAAGATTGCTAATGACATTTTTCCACTGAGAGGCCCTGGTAAGCCTGCTTGAATAACCCATTTGCAATTAACAGTGTCTATCTGCTTAAAAACAATACCCTAATTAAGAACTTGCTCCCTTAAGTAAATCCCTCTACCCTTTTGATATTCTCAACATTGTATATTGCTTTAAAGTCCTTTCTTCAAAGACCAGATAAGATAAACTTTGGCCCAGAACGTAGTCTAGATCAACCGAGAATTTGAGTTTGGGAGCTATCTCTCCAACTCAAGGGAACTCTGGGAAATGGACATATGAGAATACTAAGCAACCCCTTCCACCCCCAACCCCCCACCCAACACACAAACACATTCACATCCCCAGGTGGTTCTAGAAATGGAAGGGGAAGGAGGAGGCAGGCAGTTTGCATTAGACACAGTTTAATCGCCTTCAAATAGATTAAAAGTTCCGGTTTATGCTCCCTCCCCCCACAATCCCCATGAGTCATCCAGACAGGACCCTGGCTTAGAAAGAGAAAAACACAGGTGCTCTAGGAAATATAGCCACATATAATACATAAATCTTCTTCCCTGAAATAATGCAGGTCCTGAGCAGAGCTGACTGGGGGCCACAGCCCACCCCCAGGTAAAGTGGCTCTGGGACTCTGCCGGTGGAAGTGCTGGAAGAGTGGGGCTTGGAGGAAACCCCTGGTGTGGTTACCAATGCCCGAGGTGGGCCGAGGCCTTGGAGTGGGTTACCCGGAAGGGCAGCAGTGCTGGGCTTTCCCTCACTCAGCCGAGGCTTAATGGAAGTACTGGTTAGCCTTTTTTTCTTTTTTTTTTTCTTTTTCTGTTTTTTTGTCTTTCTTTTTTTAGGGAATGAGAGGAGAGGAGAGGACAGGAGAGGACAGGAGAGGAGAGGAGAGGAGAGAAGAGGGGAGAGGAGAGGAGAGGAGAGGAGAGGAGAGGAGAGAAGAGAAGAGAAGAGAAGAGAAGAGAAGAGAAGAGAAGAGAAGAGAAGAGAAGAGGGGAGAGGAGAGCCTCTCTGTGCCTTGGTTTCCCCATTTGTGCATTCAGGGCCTCTGCGGGCCTCACACAGGGAGTCTGAGGGGATAGTGTTTAAGTGAACACTCAGGCTTCCTCTGAGGAAAAGGAACCACCAAAGTGCCAACTTTTATTACTGCCATTCCTGCTCCTAATGGGAGCAAAAGCCAAAAGAAAAAAATTAATAGGGGGCTAATGAGAAAGGAGGAGAGATGAGGCAGAGAGTGTGTAGGGCTATGCTGTTGGCATCTCATCAATGCTTACTGAGAATAGCACAGGTATTAAAGGTTCTGGAGATTCTACAAGAAATGTAAATTATTATTTCTACTATGACTACTTACATATATCTAGTGAGGAAAGAGTGGGACTTGGGTGTTACAGACTGGGCAGGGAACAAAGGAGAAGCTACATGAATAAATACAAGTGGTACCTGCCCTATTCCTAAAAGGATTGGCTGGCAATGCTGGCACTTGGTAGCTAGGAGACTCCTCCACCTCACTCCTCACCCTCATTAATTCTGAAGGAGGCAAGAACCCAGTAAGGATCCCCTGGCCAGAGGTCTCTGTGACTATCTCTGGACTCAGGACATACAGCAGCTTGAGAGGACTTAACCCAGCCTCAAGAATCTTTAGCCCAGAATGAGATCAATGACACCAAGCATGAGAGCTGGGATCTGGAGGGAGGAGAGGAGAGTTCAAAGAGAGCCCGTGGCTGAGGTCATGGGAAACCTGTGCCACAGCCTAAGAGACCCATTTATCCAGTTGCCAGAGGTGATCGGCATCTTCTGCTACTGCCTTGAGTCCAAAAATTTTTAAAAAAAGATTGCAGCAAAACAATGCCAATGTGCAATTGGGTGACTAAAGAAAAAAAAACCAGCAAAAGGGACAGCTTACTTGCTCTCTGTCTCAAGTTTATCTTCTCCCCTGGAATCTCTCATAGCCCTAATTAAACACAAACAAAAGTCTCTTCCATAGATAAGCTACTTCTCAGCTTCAGCTGCCTCCCGTGGTGGCTCTGGGGGCTCTGGAGGTGGTATCTCTTCCGGAGTGCTTGTGTCCTCCGGCATCTCATTGGAGTTCAGCTGTTCTGTTGGGACCTGAGAAAGAAAAGATATCAGATTCAAAACAAATTTCTCTCTAAAATTTAAATGCACATAATCCACAGACACTGAATTCTTCCTCTAAAACCTTTGCCCACACTGATGCTACAGATATATAGCTACCATCACCAAACTCAGACCCAAGACCAGCCTATCTTCTTCTCAACAGAATGCGACATTTGGGGCTACATTTAATTGTCTGTTGCAGACAGATGTTTTCAGTATTATTCATGGTAATAATAATAGGGACCACAAATAATTACACACACACCCCCTTTACAACAGAATGCTATAATGTACTTGTCTAATGGTTCTCAACTCTATTTTTGCCCTTGCACACAACTCACTAGAATAGCAAAGAAGGTGAGGTATCAAGGTTACATATGGTTTAACAATGCTCCCTAAGTGATTCAAAAATTCCATCCTTTCCTACATTTAACTGAGAATCACTAACCTACAGTGTTGTGATTTGGGACCAGACTCATCAGAAAAATGATATTGAAAATGATGACAATAATATATAAATGTGAGTTTGCTGCACTTTAAAAAGAAACTTCAAAATTTAGGAAAGGTAAGTAGAAACCAACGAAAAGTATTTACATAAAAACAAGATTCTATTACAAAACAAAATTTAAACCTACTAAAAATCTATTAGAGCTGGACATGGTGGTACATACCTAATGAACCAATAAACAAGTTCACCAAGGTTTCAGGATATTAGATTAATATACAAAGATCAATTGTGTTTCTATATACTCTTACCAAAAAGAACCCAAAAATGAAATTAAGAAAATAATTTCATTCACAGTAACATTAAAAATAATAAAATGCTAGCCAGGCATGCTGGAACATGCCACTAATGCTAGCATTTGGGAGGCTGAGGCAGGAGTGTCACTGTGAGCTCGAGGTCAGCCTGAGCTACATAGTGAGTTCAAGGCCAGCTAGAACTACATAGCAAGATCCTGTCTCAAACAAAAAGTTTAAAAAATTTTAAAACATAAAAATAATAAAATGCTTATGAATAAATATAACAAAAAAGTATAAAACATACTTTAAAAACAACAAAATGTTCTTGAAAAAATAAAAAATACCCTAATAAGTAAAAATACTACTGGTGTTAATTACTGGAAAAATTTAATCTTATAACTTAATCTTGTTAGGATGGTAATATTCCCCAAATTGATCTATAAACCCAATATACTCTTCTATCAAAATTCTAGTTAGCTCCTTTGCAGAAAATGATACTATGATCCCAGTACTCATATGAAAATTTAGGGCTGGGGATTTAGATCAGCGGCAAAGTGCCTGCCTGGCAAGTGCAAGGTCATGAGTTCGATTCCTGGTACCAGAGAAAAAAAAAGAAAATTTAAAGGACCTATAATAGGGGCTGGGGATTTAGCTCAGCGGCACAGGGCCTGCCTGGCAAGCGCAAGGTCATGAGTTTGATTCCCAGTACCGGAAAAAAAACGAAAAAGAAAAAAAAATAAAGGACCTATAATAGCAAAAACAATCATACAAAAGAAGAATAAAGTTAAAAGATTCACATTTCATAATTATGAAAATTACTACAATGCTAAAGTAAACAAGAGAGTGTGGTACAGCCATAAGTACAGATATACTGATAAATACAAAAGAATTGAGAGTCGAGAAACAAATTTTCACATATTTAATCAATTGATTTTCTTTTATATTTGGTCTTATTGAGACAGGGTCTCGCTATGCAGTTCAGGCTGGCCTTGAGCTCACTTTATAGCCAAAGCTGGCCTTGAATTTGTAGTGATCCTCCTGCCTCAGCCTCCCAAGTGCTGGGACGACAGGTATGCGCCACCACGCCTGGCAATCAATTGATTTTCAACAAAGGTGACAAGACAATTCTATGGAAAGAAGAATAGTCTGTTCAAAAGACAGTACAATATGATAGACATTGTAAATTGATAGGAAAGCACTCAAAGGTAAAGGATAACTGGGATATGGGAAAAGAGAAGGCAAAGAAGGAGAAAGTTTGTATGTATGTATATGCAGGATAGTTAACATGCCTGTTCTGCTGTCTTGTATTTCTTTGCTGAAAGAAACTGTCAATGAGTCCTTGGTTGATCAGCTTTGTATGTCTATATCTGTTTTCATGAGAAACCACTTTGAAGATATCAATATGTAATACAACAAGCATTGTTAATTCCCTACCACTCTGTTTGTAACTCTGTACTGTCTGTACTGTTCCTTTGCTATTTTGTAAAATGTCGACTGTTAATATTTTCCTCCTTTTATTTTAAAAAAAAAAGACAGTACAAAGGCAACTGGATATCCACAAACAAAAAGAAGTAGACCCCCTACCTCACATTATATAGAAAAATTCATTCAAAATGGATCAAAATATAAATGTACGAGGTGAAATTATAAAACTCTTAAAAGAAAACAGAGGTATGGATTTTCATGACCTTGGATTCAGCAAGAGTTTCTTAGATGTGGTACCACAAGCATAAATCACAAAAGAAAAATCAGACTACAACAAAATTTAAAACATTTGGGCTGCAAAAGGTACCATCTAGAAAGTGAAAAGACAATCCACAGAATGGGAGAAATTGTTTGCAAATCATGTGTCTGGTAAGGGACTTGCATAAAAATCACACAAAGAACTCATGAAACTCAACAATGAAAAAGACAACTCCATTTTAAAAAATGGACAAAGGATTTGAATAAACACTTTTCCAAAGAAGATATACAAAGGGCCAATACATATATGGAAAGATGTACAACATCATCAATCATTAGGAAAATGCAAATCAAAACCACAATGAGATACTACTTCACACCAAGATAGATAAAATCAAAATGTCACATAGTAAGCATTGACAAGAATATTAAAAAGCTGAAACATTTATACACTGCTAGTGGGGATGTTTTTCTTTGGCAAATAGTCCACTAGTTCCTCAAAAGGTTAAACATGGGAGTTACCATATTACCTAGTAATTTCATTCCCACATATACATCCAAGAGAAATGAAAGTATATTTCCATGTAGAAACTTCGATATGAATGCTCATAGCAGCATTGCTTAGTAACCAAATAATAACCAAAGGCTGGAAACAGTCCACCAACTGATAAATAAAATATGGTACATGTTCATATAATGGAATATTATTCAGCCATATAAAGGAATGAAGTACTACTAAATGCTATAATGTAGATGAACATTTAAAATACACTAAGTGAAAGAAACTGATCACAAGATACCGCATATTATATAATTTCATTTATACAAAATGTATAGAAGAGGAAAAAAATCTATAATACAAGTACATTAGTGGTTGTGAAGGGATGAGGCTGGAGGAATCAGGGAGAAAGAAAGAATGACCACTAATGGGTACAAGGTTTCTTGAGGGGGAAGGTGATAAAATGCCTTTAAATTAATTGTCGTGATGATTGTACAACTCTGTGAATATACAATACCAAGGAATTGTACATTTTAAATATGGATTCTATGGTATGTGAATCATATCTCAATACAGTTTTTTAAAAAGCAAGTTCAAATAATAATTTTGGAGCATATTGTCATAAACTGTATCTTGTACAAGAAAGCTGGGAGAGTTTCCACAACATCTACATGTTCCAGTGAAGAAGCCCCCTTCTACCAAGGTAACCACATCACTAACTCGAACATGACCCCCTGGCTCCATCTTTGCTTCTATAACATTTTATGCATCCCTTATCAACATTGAACAATGGCCTGTTTACTTGTCCATCATCCCTACCAGACAATGAGCAACTTAACAGTAAGAGACATTATATGCCTTGTTCACTAGTCTATCCCCAGCACCTAGCACTGTGGCTGGCACAGAGTAGCTGCTCAAAAAAATGTCCAAAAATGAGTAAATCTTAGTCTATCTCAAGAGCACAAAGAGTTGAAGGCAATGTCAGAGCAAGAGCAGAGACAAGAAAGCTAGGAAGATTAGGATACAAAATCACTTGATTATATTGCTAAGCTGTAAAAGTAGTCTACACACTGGCACCAACTCAGCCATAGGTAAGGAACACTCACTGGGCTCTGTGGCAAGAGGCTACTACTGGTCTCTTGAGTACTGGGAGGTCGACTTCCACTTTCTTCCAGTGGCAAAATACCCCTTCGATCCAGCACACTGTGGAAAGACATGAAAGCACATCAAAGACTTGGCATGCACCACTCCAACTACACAGCCCACTGAACCTTGCTGTGTATATCAGAAAACATAAGAGGGTCTTTTGGAAATCTAGCCTGATCCTAGTACATGCCTCCTATCTTCTATTCACGTTTTCTTCCACGAACCAGTGAATGTCATATTAATCCGGGAACAAACAAATGAAATATGAATGAAAGTTTATCCCTTCAAAATAGCCCGCCCCTCCTCCCTAAAAAATAATCAGCCCATGGTCTATGGCTCATGTAGAAATGGTACTACATGACAATCCTTAAAAAGATCTATTTGACTCCAAGGAACCACATTCAGAAGAATGCATCAGAAAAGGTAACAGGACAAGGTTGAATCACTCATCCCAAGTCCCAGGACCTGTTAGTCCCTTGGGTACCTGGGGGGCAAAGGGCCACACAGCACTTCACAGCAGTTCTTCACAATATTGCCATGGCTGTAGGGATTTTGGATGCGATTCTTCCCTGTCCATGATCCTTTGATCTGAAAGATACAAACCAAAGATTACATTAACAATTATGCTGGAGAAATACATGCAGCATGGGATAATAAGAAATTTCAGGAGGTGGATAGGGGCAATAGATGCACAATAGTATGAATGTACTAAATACTACTGAACTGTACATTGAAAAATGGTTAACATGCCAAATCTTATGTCACATGTATGGTATTTTATCTCAATAAAATATATTGACATAAAAATACTCACAAAAGACAAAAAAGTAGATTAATTAGTGATATGCATTGTCTTTTTAAAAAATATATAATGTAGCATGGAGGTTCCTCAAAGAACTAAAAATAAAACTATCATACTATACCACTCTTTGGTATATTCCCAAAAGAATTAAAGTTGGCATACTATAGAAATGCTGGCATATTCAGGTTTATTATGCTACGATTCACAATAGTCACAATTTGAGCCAGCCTAGGTGGCCATCAACAGATAAACAGATAAATATGTGGAGATAGGTAGATAGACAGAGAGATGTATTATTTATTCAAAAAGAACACAATCATATCATTTGCAAGAAAATGAATGGAACCGTCATGCAAAATAAGTCAGACTTTAAAAGACAAGTATTGTATGTTTTCCCTAATATGTGGGCTCTAAAAATGAAAACCAAATATGATATGAAAGTAGAAGGGGTAGTAATTATTAGGCAAGAATGAGGAAATAGTGGGTTGTGAGGGAGAGTAATAGCTGGATGATTATGATCAAAATATGTTATATGCATGTATGAATACTTTTTTTAATTTAAAACGGAGATTGAAAGCCTCCTGTAAAATATATAATATATACATAAACAAACAGGGGAACAAGTGTAGACCAGTATAGATGACTATAAACCATACATTAACAAAGGTGATACCTTAAGGTAAAGTTATAGGGATTCATTTTCTGTTTTTTGCTCATCTGTATTTTCTGACATTCTACAATGAATGCATAGTAACTGGAAACTTTTTTAAAGCAAGGACTTACTCAGTGGCCACTGTTTCTCTCTCTATTCTACATGCAGAATCATCAGACAGCTGTTAAGGACCTATGAAGAATTAAAGACCTTATATTCACCCAACTTTTCACCCTGTCCTTCTTAATGCCCTAGAGGCATTTAGCTGCAGTAAAAAAGTCTACCTTCTCTTCCACATACAGTTTTTAACCATCTCCCACAAGCTGCTGCTTGTCCGAACCTTCCAGGCTTTGGAGACCCAGTCCTCCAGCACATAAGGAGAGAAGAGGCTTTTGGGAGAAGAGTATGTAGTGAGAAGACAAAGTTGACTCACGTCTTCATTGGTTGTCTGGTTGAGAGCCACGAGGAAAGTGTGAAATCCAGTCAGTCCCACGACGGACCAGAGTGTGAAAAAGCAAATGAGGACCTCTAGCACAGTGAGGGTAAGTTAAGGAATGTTGAAGAAGCCACACCAGGGGACTTGATATCTCAGTCCACATTCATGGCTCCAATCAAGCCATCTTTACCTCTTGGAAGGAATGTTACAAAAAGCCAAATATCCGTATATAACAATAGATGGATTCTAAGATAGATCCTTTACAAAAGGTAAAGGATTTTTGCTTATTTAGTATGAATAAATCTCTAACATCTCTAGTGTATTTAAGTGCTTGTCTATTTATTCATCATTAGCTCTTTCAAGGTGACATTTAAGAGGGGGGTTTAAAGCAAAACAATGCTGGCTATCATTGGCAATGGAAATTTCATCAAAAATAAAGTTTATAGATGAAAAATTAGTGGGAAAATAACAATATGATTTATACAAATCTTTCCTAAATCCCCTTTTCAGAAATGCAATCGCTATACAAAATAAGCCTTAGCTGAAACAGGAAGGAGGGGCTTCCAGTAAATGACACACAAAGTATAGTGAGGCAAATCACACAAAGTATAGTGAGGCAAAGTACAGTTGCCCACTCGAGGAGATGGGGATGAGCCTGGGAGAAAGATTTTGGAAGGAGGCAGCTGAGAAGTGGGTAAGAGAAAGACCTCCATTTAAGCCCTGGCCCGCTTCCATTCTGGTTGCCATCACTAAGACTAGACTTTTTAATTTTAGGCTTTGGCACACTCTGATGTCTGAAAAACTAGATGTTGGAATAACTGCAGGGAGAAAACATGCTGGAAAGTAGTTTAACAAGACTTCACAGGGACATACTGCCAGAGGAGGATATGTTCCAGGAGTTTCTTTCAACGTCTCCAGGAAGCCAATTTTCAAGGATTCTGTGAAATTGGGAGGAGGAGTAGAGAGAAAAATTAGTAACTTTAGTCAAAACTACAAAGTGTCCTGCTGCCTACTCACGTCTTTTCCTCCCTATCCTGTGTTACACACTGGCAGGAGTGAAGCTGTCACTCAGGCAAGGGTGAAGAGTCTCACCCCCAAGCTGGCAAGCTAGTGATTGAGGAATTCACATTTCCAATACCTGGCAGAAGCCAAGCACTGGGAACCCTTCCATTTTCCCAGCCTCAGATATAGGCATGTAGGGGATATTAATAGAGGAAAGAAATCAAAAATGGTCAAGAAAAATCCTCTCTCCTCACCTGTGTCCCTCCCTTGTGCAAACACCAGCTCAGAGCTCCTCTCTTCCTAGGAAGTTGTCTTGCTCAAGACAACCCTGTAACAATGCATGCAACTTATTGGGCATGGTGGCACACACCTGTAATCCTAGCACTTGGGAGGCTGAGGCAGGAAGATCATTGTGAGTTCGAGACCAGCCTGGGCTACAAACTGAGCTCAAGGCCTGCCTGAACTGCATAGAGAGACCTGTCTCAAAAAGACAAAAAAAAAAACCATAATGCATGCAACTTGTCCTTCGATTGTTAGAGTATATGTGTGTGTGTGTGTGTGTGTGCGCTATGTGGTGTATGTACATGCAAAAAGGGGGTGTGTACTTCCTGCCTCCCAAGTAGATCATAGCTTCTACATGTAATATTTTACATTCTTTGGTAAAATCCCTTATACCGCCTAGCACAATCAGGTCTTCCAGGCAGAACAGGAGGTTGCACAGAGCTAAAATACATGCCCAACATTTGGGATCACCTCAGAAAGGCCCACAACTCTGAATGAGGACCAGTAATTATGCCTCTCCCCAACAGAAGGCAGAGAAAAGGCCAACATACTCAGTAAATAGCTACAAGCTGAAGTTTGCAGCCCAGCTCAAGAGCAGACAGTAGTGCTTCTAACCCTCTCGAGGTGCCTTCACAAGTGGACTAAAATCCCACCAGAAACCAATTTCCCAATCTCTCTTCAAGTCTTCCCCCACCCTGCCCCACCCCACCCCAGTAACAGACACTGCCCTACATACTCACTGAGGGCCACATAGACGATGTTGAAGGCAAACACATAAATTGTGAGGAGGGAAAGAGAAAGGATGAAGAGGTAGAAGTAACGGTAGTTCCTCTTTCCAACACAGTTCCCCACCCAGGGGCAGTGATGGTCGAAGCGCTCTGTGGGAAAAAGAAAGAGTCTAATGCCTCCAGAACAAGAGCAACCTACCAACTACATAATCCTAACCCAAAGATCCCAGGATCAGCACCTACTTTGATTTTAAAAAAAATACAGGTTTCTGCCTCCTATGGTGGTACATGACTGTAATCCCAGCACTCACAAGGCCGAGGCAGGAGGAGGACTGCCATGAGTTCACAGCCAGCCTAGGTTACAAACTGAGTTCAAGTCCAGCCTGAATTGCGTAGCAAAACCTTGTCTCAAAAAGACAAAAAAATGGGTTTCTCTTCTTTTTCAAAATGTTTCTTAGCCATCTCATTTGACCCTGGAAGTTAAGCAAAAAGATACTCCTTTGTTTGTGGTCTGTTTGTTTGTTTGTTTGTTTGTCTGAAACAGGGTCTTGATATGTAGTTCAGGCTGGCCTTGAACTCACTTGAGTTGATCCTCCTGCCTCAGCCTCTCAAGTGCTGGGATTACAAGCACAAACCACCATACCTAGCTAAAATGATACCCTTCCCCTTATTTTACAGATGAAGAAACTAAAGGTCCAAGTGACCTGCCTCACTGCACCACTTAAGAGCAGAGAAGTCACTTTTCCAAATAATAACCTTAGCAGGTTCGAGAAAAATAAATAGGTGAAAACAGACAAGGTAATTTTGAAAAATAATGTGGTTTTTCTTGACCTCTACTAATTGAAAATATAAAACTACAATATACTTAAAATCATAAGGGCATAAAATCATATTGGGCATAACCCAATAAAATGGAAAGAGCCCCAAATATACTTAAGTATATACAATATACTTAAAATATATACAATATATATTTTGTATATACAAATATAAAATACAATACATATATACAATTATATATATTTAAGTATATACAATATACTTAAAATCATAAGGGCATAAAATCATATTGGGCATAACCCAATAAAATGGAAAGAGCCCCAAAACACACTTCATAACATAAAATTATTTACTATGTAATAAACACAGCATTGCAAAAGGAAGTATAATTCCATAAGCAATAGAGCAGTACATACTGCCTAACTGGTAGGAAATAAAGTCACTTTTTTTCTTACATTATTTGTCAAAATAAATTTTACATAAATTAAGAGTTATAGGTAAACTGAAACCAAAAGATGTAAGGAACATACATTTATCCTCTGTACGAGGAAGGAATTTTTACACACAAATGGAAGAAAACAGAGGACAAAGAAAAATAGATTTGACTCCATTAACTTTAAAAAAGTGATTTTACATGTGGTAAAAATACTTGAAAGAAAATTAAGGAGGAAAAATAATGACCATGCATGTACCTAACTATATGAAAAGTCCTTACAAAGCAGTAAGGAAATACATATACTTCTACAAGAAAATTGTCAAAGGTTACCTGAAATTTACTGAGGGTAGGTTTTAAGTGTCCACACCAGATATATACACACAATGGTTATATGTGTAGTGTGTGACCAATTTTACTGTGGTAATCAAGTCATCACACTGTAGTCCCTTAACATATAAAGTTTTTGTCAATTATACCTCACTAAAGCTGAAAATAAAAATAAAATATATACCTAAAACAAACAAAAAAGAAAATAGTATAAAATAATATCACATAAACAAATTTTTTCAGGTTTAGTAATAGTTCAGTGCAATACTAATCAAACAATAAGATACTTTTTGTCTATCAAAATAAGAATATAAATAATCATATCCATTGCTAGTAAGAATAAGGTAAAATGGACACTTTACTGCTTATGGAAGCACAAATTGAGAGAACCTGCCCAGAAAGCAATATGGCAGTACATATTAAGAGCATTAATAAAAATGATACTCTTTTAGCAGAATAAGTCCATTTTCTGTAATTTCTCATAGGAAAATAGAGATATACTCAGAAATTTAAGTCCGACAGTTTTCTTTTAATTGAAAAGTATATTGTAGGACCAGGGATATAGCTCAGTGGCACAAGCACCTACCTAGCAAGTGCAAGGTCCTGAGTTCAACTCCCGGTACAAAAAAAGAAAATTATATTGTGTAAAATATAAATAAAATAATTTGCCATTTTAATTGTACAACTCAGTGGTATTACTTACTTTCACAATGTTATGCAACCATCTTACTATTTTCACAATCTTTTCATTATCCCAAATAGAAATATTGTATCCGTTAAGCAATAATTTTCCATTTTCCCCTTCCCCTACCTCCTAGCAATCTGTTTACATGAATTCACCTACTGTAGATATTTCATTTAAGTAAACAACCTCAATTCTCCACAATTCTGGTCCAAAAAAATGGACAAGAACCGAATCAAATTTCCCCACAAGGTCAACACTGAACCTAATCACTGAATTTGATTCGGTTCTTGTCCAACTCGGTTTGCGACAACAATCATAAAATGAATCAAGTTTGTGAACCAAGGTACCACTGTATTGTCATATGATATCTGTCCTTTTGTATGTGGCTTCTTTCACATAGCATGTTTTTAAGGGCCATCCATGTTGTAACATATATTCGTACTTAATTCTTTTTTATGACTGAATTATAATCCATTGTATAGATATGGATGTACCAGATTTTATCTGACCATCTGTTGATAGACACTTGGTTTGTTTCTACCTTCTGGCTGTTATGAATAATGAGGTGGTGGAGAGGTTGAAGGGAAGGGAGAGGAATGGGAAAAAATGAATCAAGTTATATCACAGTACTTTAAAGGTACAAATTCTCTATGATGAATGTGATCATTATGTATAGCGAAAACATACCAATAAAATCTGATTGAAGAAAAAAATAAAAAGGCTATAAAACCTATTTACAAATACATTTTGAGTCACATTTCAATTCTTTTGAATATTGCTATGGATTAAATCATTTCCCCTGGCTAATTCATACACTGAAGCCCTAACGTCCAACATAGGTGTATCTGCGAGTAGGAGATTTAAAGAGACAATTAGGTTAAATGAAGTCATAAGAGTGGAGCCCTAATCCAGCAGGACTGGTGTCCTCATAAGAGAAGACGACACTGGAAATATGTGAGCACATAGCAAAGGCCATGGTGAAGACACGGCAAGAAGAAAGCTACCTGTAAGCCAAAGAGAGAGGTTTCCACAGAAACCAATCTTGTGAAACATTCATCTTGGACTTCCCAGACTCCAGAACTGTGAGACAATAAATTCCTGCTGTTTAAAATCATCTGGTCTACGGTATTTTATTATGGTAGGCTGAGCGGATTAATACTGGTATGTATACTCAAGAGCAGAATGGCTGTCAAATGGCAGTTCTACAGGGCTGGGGATATAGCTCAGCAGCACAACGCGTGCCTGGCAAGAACAAGGTCCTGAGTTTGATTCCTGGTACCAAAAAAAAAGGCAATTCTGTAACCAGCAGGCAAAATGCAACTTTTAAAAGTTAGATTTCTTTTCTCTAGAGACAAAGCAGTTTCTTCAAATTTGCTCAGGCCTAGAATAGTATGATCACCAGCCCCTCCTCTCCAGAAGCTGGCCTCACTAGGTCAAACTCCAGTTTCATTTCCACAGGGAAGGGAAAGAGTGGCCAGGTGTTATGTATTGCCTTATTGTATTCTTTCTCCCTTCTGCTCCTTATTATAAAAGGCTCTTGCACACCTGGACACAACAAAACAGTGATTTGGGTAATAAGGCCCCTCCATCTCCTCAGAGCTAGCTGTAGTAAATCCTTCCTGTTCTCCAAAATAAATAGCCTCCTTTGATTTGGTCAGCAGCAAGCAAATGAAACTGAGGATATGGACCTAAGTGGCTGGTAACAATTCTATGTTTAACTTTTGAGAAATCAAAAAATTATATTCCATAGTCGCTGCACCAGAAATTTAAGATGGTTCCAATTCTCCACTTCCTTAAGATTAATAATTATGATTGTAGGGTTCAAATAATGAATAAAATGGAATAGTGAGTAATGTCTAATGATAGAAGAGGGCTTAAATAAACTAGAATATAACTATGATTATAGTCATTAAAATAATGTAATCAAAAATATTTATTAAATATGTAGAACAAAGCTCAGAATAGAATTCTAAGTTACAAAAGCAGGATTAAAAGCTATCATGCATGATCCCATTTTATAAATGAAGATTTGGAAGAAAATATGGAAAATATGGGGAATGAATTTAGGATTAAGTTTTATTTATCTTTTTTATACTTCCTCATATTTTCTAAAATTAACAAATAATATTTTAATGAATAAAAAATCATTTGTACAGAACAGTGAGGTGTATACTGCTAAACTATAAGGCTGTGACAGTGGTACATCTCCTGATTAAAGGGCAAAAATATATCTTTTTCAGAAAAGGAAAGTACAGAGAAGAATGGCATGCCCATGGCTAGGACAATGTATGGATCCAGAATTACACATATAGCCTCATTTTAAGTAAATCTGGCATATAAAATCATTGAGAAAATGTAGAACTATACAAATGTGTTTTTTATAGTATTTTAAATCATATTCTTTCTTATATAACAAGTAATATATCCTCTTTGTAGAGAAATTTAAAAAATGAAAAATGAGGGAAACAAAAATCACTCATAATCCCATAACCTGCAGATTACAAACTACAAGTACTCTGGTATATCTCCTTGCATATTTCTTTATATATTTTGTTTTCAAACTATATAGCTGAGATTTCACTGTAAATGTAGCGCATCTCCTGTCTTATGTCATTTAGCTTTCTGGTATGAACTTTTTCCATAGTCTATAGTATGAGTGTCCGTAATTTATTTGACCATTCACCTATTGGTGGATTATTGGGTTCTTTCCAGGTTTTCACTTTCATAATAATCCCAAAGTAAACATTTCCACACCTAACTTTTAGCACATTTCCAATTTCTTGGGATAGATTCTCTAGAAAAGGAATCACCAGCATCAAAGAGTTTACATGTGTTAAGGTTTTTGATGAATCTGATTATATTGTCTTCCCAAAAGTTTATCCCAGTTTACATTCCTAGTAGTATAGCATGAAGCATTTTTGGGATGTCCTTGCTCATTTCCTAGACTAAAAGATCATCCTGTGTTATTACTGATTTCTTTGATCATTAGTAAAAATGAATCTTTTTTTCATATTTAACCAGACAATTATACTTCCTGTTTTATGAACCATTTATATTTATACTAGATCACTACTTTTTAAATAAAAAATTAGTCTAGGGCCAAGCATTTAGCTCAGTGGCACAGTATCTGCCTGGCAAGCACGAGGTCATGAGTTCGATTCCTGGTACCAAAAATAAAATAAAATAAAATAAAATAAATAATAAAAAATCAGTCTGTATGAGTTCTTTATGTTAAAAAATATTAATACAGAGAGAGAATTCTTTATGAATTTTCACTTCAGACTTTTTTCTTGGTCCATTTAAAATGAGTTGTGAATTACAAAATCCTATCTATACAACAATTTTTGCTATAAAAAGCAAGATACATGTCCCCAAACTAATCAATTGGCCAGTAAGAGGAAACCAGGGTCCTCAGACATGCTACATGACATACAGAATGTTAGAATCACATCCAGTGATATCAGCAATATAACACAGGTGCCTTTTAAAAAGCACATTTACTACCTGTTTCTGATTTTTCTCACGTTTCAGCATATAGTGGGCAGAACCCACAATCAAGCCACATTATGTGCAGACAGAAATACAGATCCCTATATTATGAACATCTATACTAGCCATGCTCATAGCAGCAGCAAAGAAAGAAAAAATAAGGGCTTTGACATCAGAACTCTTCCAGCTTTATCTCAAGCTAACTATATACACACACAGAGGTGCTTTGCTATTTCATTTGTAAAATGGCAATAATACTAATTTCAGGATGTTGTTATAAGGCTTAAATGACAGAAAAGGAAAGGACTTAGTACAGCATCCACACTGTAGTAGAAACTTAGTAAATGCTAGCACCTTTCCTCTTAGGAACACTGCCTCCATAGGCCTTCGTTCCTCAATACTGCCTCCAGTGGACAAGGATACTCTTCCCCCATGTAAGGTGAGCTCCACACAGCAAAAATTTAGATTTCAACTTTTTGGACAACATTTCATGCCTGGATCTTGTACTCTGAATAACTACTATGAATATAACAATACACAATGTATGAATTATTGTTACTCTCCTACTAGCCTGTTTTGAAACTGTTTTATTGATATTTTTACTTTCTTCTGTTTAAAAACCAACCAAACAAAAAACAGGTAAAGTTTATTTTCCCATTTACGAAACAGGCTGTTTTTTTTTTTCCATTTTAGATTAGATAATCTTTAAGCTATGATTTGATCAACAGAAGTACAGTTGATTTTCTTTTTTTTAGGAGTTTCTTCCCAATCTAAATCCCCCTAGTTTCCCATCAGAATCTATCGTCTCACTTTCACTGACTCTTCGCAAGAACTGCTGATCACCCTGACTATCTTATTCAATGCAGCCTTTCCCCTGGGCAACAACCCCTTGGTTTTACTCACCCACACAGTTGTCACAGATGCTGCAATGGGAGGCCCGGGGAGGCCGGAAGATCTTGCATGTATAACAGTATTTTAGTTTCACAATCTGGTTGTTAATCTGGAAATTCTTGATACGAGGGGGTGGTCGCTGCCCCTGGGGCACTGCACCATTGGTAGCTTCTGTAAATCAGTAAAGACAGTTTAATTCACTGCTAGTCATTATTTAAGTCTCAAAGTCTTGCCACCTCTTGTTCAGCGGTAGAGCACTTACCTAGCATGCACAAGGCCCTGAGTTTAATGCCCAGCACCAAAAAAAATTATATTAAAAGCAATGAGGGTCATCAAAGGTTGCCTACACCTACTGTCTTCTCCAGGCAAGAATTTCCAGACTAGAATTTCAACATCACCTATTGTCCCTCCAAAATTCTACTGACTAAAAAAAAAAACATACAGACAAGCAAAAAACCCACAAAATTCTACTGAGTGCTGTGTACATGTAAAAAAGTGTTTCTTTAAAGTTTTTTGTCTAGTTACAAAGAAAAACATTTATAAAGGAAAAAAATTAAAAGAAGAAATGAAAACATCCAACTTCACTAATTAAAGAAATAAAAATTAAAACACAAAGAGATCATTTCCACCTAAGGCCTTCACATAGAGTAATGCTGCCAGTTCTTTTTTTTGAGACTGGGTCTCACTAAGTTGCCAGACTGGGCTCAAACTCGTAAGATTCTCCTGCCTCAGGCTCCCATAGTGCTGGAATTGAAAAGGTCATTCTTACACTTTACCAGTCAATGATGCAGAAGCTACCACAATTTTAAATGTGTGTACTCTTTTGTGTAGCAAGTCTATAACTGACAGGGACTTATCAAAATTATAAAGAAAAATGCAGCTGTTTACACAGGATATTTTTCACAGAGTCCCTTTTAACAACGAAAAACTTAAAAGTAACCTCAATGTCATAATAGGAAGTTGGTTAAGGAAATTTATGATGCAGATATGATACAGCTGGGTAAGTAATATTATATGGCCATTTAAAATGATGTAGGCAAATAAATGGAGACAGAAAAATATAATGTATTATCAAATGAAAATGTATGCTAAAAATCAATACATATAAGCAGTTCCTATCTAGGAAAAGTGAAGTATATGCATGAAAGACTGATAATACTTAGAAAAACAATTAGTAAAATAAGAATATATATTTATTATTTTAAAAGTTAGAAAAAAACATAAAATATAAATAATGAAAGATAAAAATCACAAGAATCTGTCAGCTCAGAGAGAGTCATACATTTTTGGTGTATTTTCTTCTCTTAATAGATAAACATTTGTGACATTCAAAAATTTGAGATCATAGAAATGCAATTTTATACTATGAATTATTTACTTAACTTTATACTGTGAACATTTACCCATGATTGGTAATTTTTTTCTAAAATATCATTATTAGTAATATTCTATGAGATGCACACACTGTCATTTATTTAATCATCCTGTATCATTGGGTATTTAAATTATCTTAGTGTTTTTGCTATTCAAATGACGTTGCATGCAAAACTTTAAAACATTTTAGACAAAAGCTTAAATTCCCTTTGATAATTCAATCCCAGTTCCCTACTTCCTTCCCCAAGAATATATTCATATGTTAAAATTAATTTCTAAAACACAAAGAAAAGCATGTTGAAGTCTGAGTAGCATTAAGATAGCTATAGTCATTAAAAACAAAAGGAAAAATAAAATGATATATAAAAAAATTGTACTGTAATTTATTTAAAATACCTGATTAGTTCCTTTAGCTAAGCCCTTAAAGAACCATTAATGACTGGATCAAAGGGGATGAACCCTTAAAACCCATATCACTTCTTGCCAAACTGCTTCTCAGACAGATTGTATGAATTCACATGCCTGCCTGTCCACAGCATATGAGAGTGCCTGTCTCACTGCACCCTCACCACGCAGTATAATTCCAAAAAAAGAATATTTTTCAATTCACTTTGATTATAAAAATATCTGCCATATGGAACATTTTTCCTTTTTCTGCAGAGTGGGGTAGGTGCTGTGAAATCAAACAATAACAGTGTGTCACAAGTCTTAAAAGCATGGAGAAAACTATTCACTAGAGGGTGATACACAAGTAAGTAAGCACCAGCATGCCACCTTTTATTCCTTTGCATATGCTTTACAGGAGGGCACCTGGGAGACAGAGTTCAGGGTTCTAGGAAGCAAGGCAATCACATGGCTTATCTCTCCATCCCTCCTCCACAGCATACCCAGTACAGAACTGAATATAAGCTGACAAAAAGTTGCTAACATAAACAAATGTATTTACTCAAAAATGTACGCTTCTAATAAGAGAAACATGCCAAATGTAGAGGTCACAACATGACAACTTCAGTCTGGGCCCCACATCCAATAATGAGGCAGATAAGAGCTAACCCTGGTGACAATCTGCTGTGAAATGTACGCGACAAGTCAAGGTACTGTCTTGAACCTCCATATGTGAATGGGAAGGGAACTATAAAAGAAAAACCCAGATGGAGGCAAAAATAGCATTCACAACTCTCCCTCACTATCTTAATCTTAACTGTTCCCAGTTGCAGTCTCGGGTTTCCTCAGAACTCCAGCTGGGCCAAATACTTTCACCTCTGCTTTCCTCCACTGTTCTCACCCTCACTCCATCCCTATTTAGTTCTAGCTCACCAACTAGTTTCTCCTGAGATCAATTGAAATGAGATAGAATTTTTTCAAAAGAAATCCACCACGGGGCTGGGGATTTAGCTCATCGGCACAGCGCCTGCTTGGCAAGCTCAAGGTCGTGAGTTCGGTTCCTGGTACCGGAAAAAAACCCAAAAGAAAAAAAAAAAAAAAGAAAACCACCACCAAGATGTTAGGAAGAAACACAGCTAAAACAAACAAACAAAAAATACAAAAGCCTGGAAGTGTTCAAAGCAGTCTCAAAGAACGAAGAAAGGCTAGCCACAGATTGGCACTCTGCTGGCACAGCTTCTCAGCATTACAAATTCTGGGTCCCTTTTTATTTTCTACACTATCTGGCCTGGATGCCAACTCAAGCTACTGGGACGCCATACTGGAGAAGCATTTAGGTAGCACTACTACTTGATCTGTTGGATTCCCACTCCCTCCTAGTTACTTGCAACATAGACTTCTTTCCCATTGTGAGCTCCCAGTATAGCCCCTCTCCAGCCCTGGATGTTCTGCTTCAATTCATAAAGCCACCCTGGCTCCTGGTGCTATAACAATTTCCATTTCTGCCCCAAAGATGTTTACACTGAGCTGCAGACTGCACAGTACTGAACCTGCAATTGCTTCCTTCACCTTTCCTAAAATTTTTTTTGTACCGGGAATCAAACTCATGGCCTTGCCTTGTGCTTGCCAGGCAGGTGCTATGCTGCAAAGCCATACATCCAGCCACTTTCCTAGAACTTTTATGGTTCCTGGAACATAGCTGCCCTTCTCAATTTGCACATTCCCCTAAAGCAGGAATTCTTGGTCAGGGAGCCCATGAATATGCTTCAGAAAATCTATAGATCCCTAAAATTATACCTAAAATTGTATGTATGTGTATGGGTATAAAAATACAGCATGCACCAAAAATGTATACACACTTCAGAAAAAGAAAAATAGTATGATGTTTTTTCAACAGATGGTGTTATCCTCATATGGAGGACCCTAGAGGATGTCATATATCTCAGAAAACCTACTACACCGCTTGGTGGCCCTTAGAGAAGAAACTGAAAATGTATGTGCTGCAATCTCAATGACCAAGGTTACCCAAGTAGCACTGTGCCATATTAATAAATGTCTGGATGCTAACGGCCACCACTTTGAGCACCTCTTGTAATTGTAGAACCCAAAAGTAACTTGTATTAATCTTATGATAACTCAATAAATTTAGTATTAAAATATTTATAGAAGTTTTTCTTTTCCTGAAGTATATATACATTTGTTGGCATACTCTGTATTTGGGGGTAGGTTTACAGTTTTGTTGGTTTTTTTTGTCTTTTTGAGACACATTCTCGTTATGCAGTTCAGGTTGGCCTTGAGCTCACTTTGTAGCCCAGGCTGGTCTTGAACTTGCAATGATTCTTCTGCTTCAGCCTCCCAAGTGCTGGGATTACAGGCATGTACCACCATGCTCAGCAGGTTTACAGTTTTTATCCCAAAATGTCTCTCATTGAGACAATGTAGGCAGACATTGGTAACAAATCTGTCCTATAATGTACCTGAACACAGGGAAAATCAAAGCACATGACTGTAAAATCTTGTTATACCTGCCTTAATCAAATTCACAGCATGGTTCTAATTTCAGACTCAGTATCTCAGAGAGAAAAGGCTAGACCAGTAGATTGTGAATCTGCAACTACTACCATGATTCCATTCCCTTACTGAAAAGGGCTGACCCCACGACACAGTAGATTGCCAGCTGGAGACTCACCTATCTCCATTTCTATGAAAGCTGCTTCATCTGGTAGAGCACGAGGAATCACTCCAGGATCACTAAAACTGGTCCTCAACAGTGTGGCCATGGAGAAAAGGAAGAGCACAGCAGCAAACACAGGGATGGCAGGAGACAGCTGAACAGCCAGGTAGCGACACCTGCAAAAAGCAAGTAATTCATCATTTAATTATACCAATGGGGGTGAACCTATGGAACATGTGTAGTTTTTCTTTCAAGACAAAAGATGTTGGGGCTGGGGATTTAGCTCAGCGGCAAAAGCGCCTGCCTGTTTGGTTCCCGGTACCGGAGAAAAAACCAAAAAAAAAAAAAAAGACAAAAGATGTTAATGTATGAGTTGTTTTCTCTAAATTAAAACCTCAGTATTTGGGTTTAATTGCAGTGTTGGCACTTTGTGATAAATAAGTGGGTTTGGGATTGCAGTGTGGGCATTCGACTTTAAAAGGTTCACCATCACTGAATTATATCTACCCTGTATTGATCTCCAACTGTTACAAGTATCTCAGTCTGGTTCTACAATGAAACCAGCAGTACCTCAAGAACAGGAACCATGCTACTTACCTCTCTTCAATTACCCCAAACATCTAACACATGGTGTTGTACATTGCATAAGTTCAACAAATGACTGATTCCACCTATAATATATAAAGACAGTCTCAAGGGACCTCCCTTATTCCCCCAGGCTTCCTATCAGCCTGCTGGAAGTCACATTTCCTCCGCTTCAGAAAAGGTTTACATCTGCTATGCTAAGGACCAGGAAGCAACTGAGCCTGGATTGACAAGCACCACAGGTTGATTTCACTCTCGGACTGACCAAGGCTTTTCATACCTACTCACCTAGGATTAGGGCTGAGCCTGACGAAGACAGAGGAAAACAATAAAAAGAGGATCAATCAGGAAGCAGGCTCACAGTGTCAGACACAGGGTATTTCCACATGCTTCAAGACCAATGAGAAACCTTAGAACTGCTGAATGACTCTCCAACATCCATTCTTCTCCTCTCTTCAATTAGCTCAACTAGGAGGTGACTCACAATCATCAGCAAGGGACTAAGAAAACTGTATCCTTAGCCAGGTGTAGTGGTGCATGCCTGTCATCCCAGCACTCAGGAGGCAGAGGTAGGAGGATGGCCACAAGTTCGAAGCTACATATTGAGTTCAAAGCCAGCCTGGAAGGGCCAGGGATATAGCTCAGTGGCACAGCACCTGCCTGGCAAGCACAAGGTCCTGAATTCAATTCCCAGTACGAAAAAAAAAAAAAAGCCAGCCTGAATTATATAGTGAGTCTCAAAGAAAATAAACAAATAAAATTACATCCCATTTGTAGCCCTTCCCAATATCACATTCACTCCCCTCTTTCCTCATAGTGTACCACTTCCTCTCTGTATATCCCAACTGTACTTATCTTTCAGATCCTGGCAACAACACTATTATCTCTGTAACTATAATTTACACAATGTTCACCATATGCCAGGTATTGTATTAAGCTCGTTAAATGAATTTTCTCATCCGATTTTCACACTAAATTTATGAGGCAGCGTCCCTTACACCAATTTGATAGATGAACAGTCTAGGGCTTAGAGAAGTCTTACCTTCTTCAAAAGACCTATGCCAAACTACACTAATCTCCCCCTTCTCTATTGCCAGAGCCATGTATTATTTTCCAGCTTTTCTTAGTAGGTTGACTACATCTCCCTCAAATAGACTTTGTAAGAAAAAGAAACTAGTGTTATTGGACCAGGAACTACTCAGTTTAAATTATGGCTACCAGCTCCTAGTTGGTTGACTTACTTAACTTCAGTCTCCGTATGTGTAAAATAAGAATAATATGTACTTTGTGGGGTATTTGTGTGAATAAAATGCACTAATATAAAGTGATTAGAACAGCATTTGACACACAGTAAATGCTAAATAAATGTCAGCTATTAATATGATCATGATTCCATATTTCCCAGACCTTAATACAAGTAAAAGAAGCTATCAAAAAATACCTGTTGATCTGAGCTGAATGTCAAACCAAGTGAGTGGGGATGGAGATTTATCACTGGCCTATTTTTATTCTCCTCTGCCCCAGTCACATTTCTCCTTCAAAATGAGAATCTTCACTGGAGGCAGATTATAATAAGTAGATGAGCAAGGAGAACAGGGAGAGCGGAGAAAGTAAGCTACGGAAAAAGCTTGCCTCATCAACACAGGGAGTAAGCTAGTTGCAGCCCATTCAGGCAAAACATTTAACCCCAGGTTGTACTTTCACTGCAGTTTTGGAACAACCCCTGTGAGAGCCTCTCCTCACTCACACACAGAACTGCGGGGGGTGCAAGCAATTGTTATATTAAGCTAAGAGCTCTGCGATGAAGGTGAACTCATGTGCTGAACCCAAAAGAGGATTTTCATGGCTTACTGTTTGCTTGCTTGTTTCTAATATATTTTTGGCCTTAACTTGCTTTCTAATTAACTCCCTTCTCCTAAAAGCCAAGGATAGGGGAAAAAATAAGAACTGAAGGATCGGTAATTAAGGTTCATGCATACCACTAGCTTACGGATTACCTTCCTTTCTGCTGTGCCCCTTCATGTGAACACATAATCAAAAAGTAAATGCAGAAATGAATACCACTGCTACTTACCAGGGACCCTAAGGACACAGGAAAAGCATGAGGCTTTGTTTCATGAACAAGCCAAGTGAAATCATCACACTAACAGAAAACAATCATCTTCCTAGTCATTGGCTATCCCTAAAATCACTCTTGAAACAAAGAAGTAATGTCTCTAGGACTCAAACTGGCCTGACTATACAGTCTCCAATCAAAAGCCTTAAAAATATCAGAGCTATGGGATTAGCCACCAAAGTGAGTTTATTTCTTTTCACCAAAGCTTAAAGACACATTGTGAGGAGAACCACCACCAAAAAAATCAAATTAATGCTGCTCCCCCTCCCCACACAGAAGGACCTGAACCTAACGAAGTCCAGTTCCAGGACTTGCTTGCAAACCAGACAATGGACAACTTAGATTTGAATTATGCTACACCATCAAGGATAAAGGTCTCTGTAATCTCCGCACAGACTATCTCCTGCACCTGCTAAAACAATCCACTCTGTATGTCAACAAGTACACAACAGGCCCATTGTATTGTTCTCTAGAGATGAGGCTACTGGCAGCCAGTTGTCTCTAGTGAGTGGGTGTGGTTGGGAGGGCAGATGTGGGACCAGCAGGCCTTTCTACTCCAAGAGGAAATTTCAAGAGCCAGCAGCTAAGACTACTGTGAACTACAATCGATAGTATCTGTAGTTTAAAGTTATTAAAAATTACCTCCCTAGCATACAGCTTGGGGCATGTGGCTATAGTTCTAGCTACCCCAGAGATTGAGGCAGGAGAATCACTTGAGCCCAGGAATTTGGGGCTGGCTTACACAACATATCAAGATCTCATCTCAAAAAATAAAAAATAAAAATACTCCTCGAAGGTGGGGGCATGGAGGTATGCCGATCAAAGGACACAAAATTTCAGTAAAGAATAAATCAAGAAATTTACTGCACATCATAGGGACTATAGTTAACAACAATGCATTGTATACTTGAAAATTGCTGAGAGATTTTACATGTTCTCACCACAAAAAAGATAAATATGTGAGATAACACATATGCTAAATAGCACAATATCTACATATATCAAAGTATCATTTTATCTATCATAAATATAATTTGTATTTGTCAATTTAAAAATAATTTAAACCCCTCCCAGGTTAGTCCCATAATTACAGTAAGGTGGACATCTGTCTCTGACAGGAATAAGATATGTGTAGATTTGGTGGGAATTCCCAAAAGTCAGGGTGCCCTCAAATATCACTAATTTATCTTAGAGAAAGACTGGGATTTGTCATCCATGAACATAAGCTAATTGTTCTGAAACACCCTAGTACTTGCCATCTATATCATTCCTCACAAGAATGATATCCATACACTTCTGGAAACAACTCCCCTTTGTCTTCCAAGTACCAAGAGGCCTTCCTCCTTCCAGGGGCTTACAAGTCCCTGGAATTTTATAAATGCAACCACGTTCCTACTAAGTCTGCACTTCTGCCACCTGAAGAGACATCTCATTTTAAGCTATCCCTCTGTCACCTTCTTGACTGGCCTTAGGTCTCCACAGCTGGGCAAGAGGACAGAGTTCTCACATGGGTCCCTATAGGCCACATGGTGGTACTAATATCAGTAACCAGCAGTGCCAGGCTGGGCTTGTACATCATGTCTCACACTCTGTCCCAGAATGCTAGTTCATTCGAGGGATGATGATAATGATACAGACTTTGATTTACCTAAAGGAAAAACTCAACAGCGATTCATAAATGGTGCTGGTGTGAGACCCAACTCCATGGCAGGACCATGCCTCACAGACTGGCAGTTTGTATTGGTGATCTATACAGTTCTGTGCTTCTAATTCTCCCTAATAGCTTTCTTGCTATGTTTTTTATGTTTTATTTTTCCTTTTATCATTGCAATCAATGAGCCAACAAGTATTTATTAGTCTAACAAATGAAGAACAAGAGAAATAGGAGTTAATTTTGTTGGTGAAAACATAACTAACATGAAGCAGGTAAAGAATAAGGTAAGACCAATACCCAACTGTTAGGATGGTGATTCAGAGTCTCAGGACTGTAAGTGGTCAGAAAACAGTTTTCTTGGGAAGCTGGTGGCTTCTTGCAACCACTGCAAAAGCAGTTGCAAAGGACAGCTTTAAAGAAGAGCTGTGCTTGAAACAGCAGGAACGGTCCAAGGATCAGAGCCCATGGTCCCCTTTGATCTGACACGATAGGAATAAGCCTATACTATAAGTACCCTCTCATATGGATGGCTACCTTCTTACTACCTACCTGCCATACACTGAGTGTTTGTATTCCCAAAAAATACATGTTAAAATCTCAATCCCCAGCCAGGCGTGGTGCTGCATGCCTGTAATCCCAGCACTCAGGAGGCTGAGGCAGGAGACTCCACAAGTTCAAAGCCAGCCTGGGCTACAAACTGAGTTCAAGGCCAGCCTGAACTACATATCAAAACCCTGTCTCAAGAAAAGAAAGAAAGAGAGGGAGAGAGGGAGAGAAGAAAGGAGGGAAGAAGGGAAGGGAAGGGAAGGGAAGGGAAGGGA